AAATGCCATCCCCTTGTAAACCTCCTTATCACCGCTATACAAGGTAGTCTTCTGCACACCCTAATCCCGCTCTTATTCGATAGACTCCTACATGACTTGGACCCCCCGCGGAACCAAGCAGTTACTTCACAAAACTATCAAGGCTTAGCCGGGCTTGCGCGCTGCCAGTGCCGCCCTCCAGCAGAACTTACTGATGGTTACTACGGCAAGGTCGGAATAAATGGTAACTGCCAAATTGATTTGGGGTTTGGGATTGGTGGGTTCCCCTTCAGAACAAGCACGCGTAATTGGTGTGGGACACTGAGGATGCTTGCAGAGCAGAGTCTTAACCCGGAAAGGACAACCCCCTAACAAACTCTTCTTCCAGCAGAACAATTAGGAGCGTGTTTGGGGTCCCCGGAGATGTTAATTGACTTTGCGAAGGTTGGGGACTTGACTTGGAGGCTTGGAGCAAAGCCTTCTGATCATGAATCATTTTATGATTTCTACGCCCAGCGTGAAAGATCAGCAACGAAAAACATGACATCACCCAATTCCGAATTGGAGGCTTTGGGAAAATGCCCAGCAGACATGAGGTCCAAATTGAAACCTTATCTTACCAGTGCTTGGTAGGGAGCGCAGGAGCGGAGCCCAATAATAATCCCAACATATTCCCCACGCACAACCCTACATAACCCCATAGAATCCCTGCATGCCCCTATGATATAATAGTTTTCATTTTCTTTTTTTCCTTTCCATTATCCCTTTTTAAACGTACCTATCCTGATCCCCTCGTCCGCCCTCCTCCCCAGCCCCGCGCTTACGCGCCAGCAAGTTTGGCAGTGAGGCCTTGGAGCCTCAAAAATCTGTAGTGCTTCGGCCTCGAGTCCATCTAATGAAGTAAGGAATAACAAACGTATACCTGAAATCATGTTAAACATCCTCATATGATTTAGGGTACTTTGCTCCACTGAAGTGCGTTGCACTCTGTGAAATTACGCCTTGCGCAGTTTTGGGCCGTTCATCATGACTGCGACTTGAGTGATCCAGGTCTGACTCCATGCGGGCTGGTGTGTTGAGGGATGGCCGGTCCCAGCGGTTCATGGGGAATGTTGAAGGGGTGGAATGTAGGAGACTACTATACTACTGAGTTACTTTTAGGATCCGTTCCCTTATTCCCTGCTGACCATCAGTAGGTCAAATGGGCACGTCGCTGACGCATGCTCACTTTCTTCTTGGGGTTACCAGGGAATGGAGGCATGGAACCACAACCCAGTCCCTCATTCCTTGCTCATCACCAGGAAGTTTTGAAATCTGTGGAGTCGATGTGACCCAAGCTCAATCGCACTACACATTCACTACACATTCCTGTCAATTCCTGTTCAGATGTAACGTTGATAGCACATGTTCCCGCAAAGATCTAATGTTAGGGAGTGGGGCGTGTATGAGGGGTAGGGGACTATGAAGACTGAGCTCCAGACTCCAACTCCCCACCCCGCATGTCCCCATATATGCCCACCTTTTGACCCAAATAGTTTCAGCATGGGAAAACTCTGGAAACTGTCAAATGACACATGCCCAGAAAACTGTGTACTAAGCAAAGGACACTCGTCACCAGCAAAAAAAATCCTTTTCAGGGGGGAAGGTGCGGCAGTGCGCATTTCTTGCCATTCCGCCTTCACAGGAGCTGGGATGCTGCTCGGCGATTTGCCTGCATGCGCAGCTCTGTCCACCCTTACATGGGAGTTTCTCCAAAACGGGGGCTCTAGGGACCCCAATATAGGAATTATTAAGCCCCCCCACATAGCGTGGCTTACATGGTCTTGTCCATTCCTTCCTTCATTCCTGACTGACCAGCTCAAACCCTAAACAATCATACAGTAACTTCCATGATATTCCTTCATTCCTTACCACCCCCCCCAAGCTTGAAACCCTGAACAAACCAGTGGCTGCCAGCTTCTTCATCATTGAAAAAACGAACCACCAGTAAGCCAGGCTTTTGTTGTTGAATCTGGGAGTTCATCCTGAATAAGAACCCCCTTAGCCCTAGTATAATCGTCCATAATCTGGGGCTCCAAACCCTAGCCTAAACTAAGGCACTTGTTTTGAAAAAGTCCCATCTTGTCCCCCAACATTGCCGCATCGTGCACCCCCAAGCCGCCGTGTGAAGAGATGCAGTAGTCTGGAGGGTTGTGTGTGAAGGGTTGTTTAGTGTCAAGGGGTTACGACGCAGTCGCTGGAACAGCGCGGAGTGGACACCACCAGGCTCAAATTTGGGAACTGGGGTTGTGATATGGGCATCTCCAAAAGACAGCGATGCCCGTCCGGGGGTCTCAATACTCAGGGTTATTGTCCTTGGGAGTATGCAAGTGAGACCGCTTGTTTTCAAACATCCATATAGAAGCTGGGCAGCATGGATTGCAGCTTTGCTGTTGGATCCTCAGTATTCCTGGCTATGAAAAGGACCCAATAAGAGTCAAAGGTAGCCATTGGGTCCTCACTTTAAGCAATGAGATCACTAATATCCCCTTTGTATGAAGGGTAGCATAAGCTATGAAACTTCATCAGAGCTGCCGGACTCCTGTCCCAGAGGTCCTAAACCCCAAGCACTCTACCCTAAACCCCGAATTATGAACCGGGGTTGCGAAACAACTGGCGTTTCTAGTCAGAAGGCCCTATAAAAAGGATTACCGAATATTGGGACAGAATATTGGAGCCCCTACTCACGGAACATGTGATTGAAGACCCCACAGAGCTTCGAGCATCCAGACTACTTACTTTTGTTCAAGAAGGAGTGGGCAAGTCAACGAGGAAGCGGTCCTGCTGCCGAAGCGCTCCTGAAGATGCTGATCTATGTTTTACTCTAACAGGGTACCCTTACAACCCTAGGAATACATGAGCATGACAACAGGGATTATGGGGGCGCCAGAAAAAAACTCTCCGATTGTTTTGGGAGGATGGGATTCGTTCATAATTAGGGCAAGGTCCTGCCAGCTGAACAGGACAGGGCCCTGAGGAGGACCCCTTCACCACCTGAGGTGTTTGCTGGTAATTATCGTTTCCTAGAGCATGCAAACCTAAGAACCTGACGGACAAGTGCCAACTAATCACGAATTTGGCGATGAAGTCCATCAGCTTTAGATGGGAGGGTTCAAGTTGGAAGTTAGGGATTGCACATCAGACCCGCAAGCGATGGGCAGATGAAAGGGTATTTCCACAGTACGGGACCTCCAAAGACTTCAATCCTGTATCATACGGACCATCAACCAGGGTCCTCTAATTTTCAAAGGCCCCGCAAGTAATCATTGTGGCTGACCCGGGCTTTGTGGAAGGGCCGCAAACAGCTGTCGCGTTCTTCTAGGTTTTTAATTCCAAAATCTGACTGCTTGACTGCGGTTTCTGCTGCAATGCAAACTCGTAGATTCCTCATTGCAAGTTAAATTGTGCTGGTCCCTCGTCTCGGGGCCCCGGCGTAGCTGGCACAGAGGCAGCAAGGAGTGGCGGGGGCCTAGGTATATGGCGGTGCGCTGCCACATCGCTCTCTGACGTTGTCTGCTCGTGAAGCTTTACAGGCCGGCGAAGCCCCTTGTTGGAAGAAAGCTACGAGATGCTTATTGCAGATGAGAACAATGATGAACGACTGGTACCCACATTTGAGGAGTCCAGGGGCTAAGTCTTTCTGGTGCTTGGGGAAGTGGGTCCCCGTCGTGATTCCTATTTCATCCCCAGCAATGGTGGCAACATTCGCCGCCCACTCCCCATCAGGCACTAGGACAGTTTGACATGCAAGGTCGGGATCATGGTTGCACAGTGTGGAGGCTGAACGGCTAATTTCTACAGAGTTTTGGGTTGGCTTACCAAATAGTGGGTCGGTAATATTATGGCTTCTACAATGCACACCCCTTTTAAACCCCTTCATTGTCCCGGTGTGCAATTCATGTTCATTTGCTCCAGCTGCATGTGGTCCTGCAGTATTCAATTTTCAGCCCTTCTGTGGGAATGCGGGTGAGAATTTACGGCTAAGGGTTTTGAACCTACAGTAGGGTTTGGGGGGCAAAGGTCAGGAGGCTGAGCATCTAGGGCTTAGGGCTGAAAGCCTCATGTTATTTGAAGATGATGAGAAGCCTTTCTTTTTAAAAGGGATTGTACAGGGTGTGCAGGAATCATGGCGGGGCTGGTGTGAATCATTATTTTCAACTTTTCTGAGCGCTGCATATTCCTTTGGAGTTCGGAGGCAGAAGCATAACCCAGTTCTTGGTGTGGCGCAAGCCGCGGCCTTCGTTTTGTGCTGCCTCGCCCACCAAAGGAGTGGGTGGGTCGGGAATCCAGGGTGCGGTCTCTTTGGGGCTGGTTCAGACTAAGCCTCAACAAGATGCAGTTCGTGCTGTGAGGCTTAGCGGAGCTCTGTGTTTTGGAGTGTCAGTTTAGGCCTTCATGCCAGTACATGCTAGGCTTCTTTATCAAAAGGACCCAGCCTGCAACCCCTTGAACCCGAAACCTTGCAGCCGTGAAGCCCGAAACAAAGTTCTTGTCGAGCCCCAAATAAAGTTCACTTCATTGAAAGACTTACGGCCGGAGTCACAGCGGTTGTAACCAAATCCATGATATCAAGCTCCTGGAAATGTAGCTGTGAGTTGCATCAGCGGAAGGCAGCATTGCTGAAAGCCTTGTGCCGCCGGTGCTCGACGATGTCAAGGAAGACCAGCGCTAGTCGCTCGCCTCCCTCCTGTTCTTCTGGAGTATTTCATGTGACGGGGTGGAGGATCAAACATATCCCCGTGACTGCCAGTGTCCGATGCTGGAGGCATATTCTGAAACACAAGAGCTTCTTTATCGCTAGTCGAAGGATGCAAACCCTGCAATTCAGAAGCGCGCATCCAAAAGTGTGAATGCCAGGCCTTCTCCAAGTATCCAAGTACCTGCCTGGGTGTTACATCTCCGTTCATCTCCGTCCACGGGTCAACAACGTTTGATTCAAACCTCCCTTCCACTGTGGCTTACGGGTCTTGGTCTTCTTTGGGTCACTGGGAGCTTCGCATGCTGCGAGGCAGCGCAATTCCAGCGGCAGCCACCAGGACTAGTACGGCAATTTCGGTTGGCATTCTTTGGCACCGGCCTGACCGATCAAAGGCTGGGGCTTTAGGAGCGGACAGCCTATGTGCACATGAGCTTTCCCTGGGCTCCTGGATCATCTGGTCCGCCAACTTGACCCACTTTGAAAGGAGCTCCTCGCATGCTTTGGGATGCAAAGTGCCGCATTCCGTGATCTCAGCTGAACTTCCCAAATCCTGAAACAACGTATCAGATCTCCTCAGAGAGCTGGAAGGGCTCTTCGATGCTTCGGCTCCCATCCGCATGGTTCACCTCAAGCCGAAATTCAAATTGAATATCTCGTTAACAGTTTCTAGAGAATCCACTCTAGACATCCTTTCCCCCATTCCCTGCTGAGCCCTATTGACCTGGGAAGCCCAGGTCGTTTCACTGCGTTCTAGATCGAGTTTGCTTACAGATAGTGTTAAGCAGGGAAGGGGGACATAGGTTTCTAGGGACTCTTACCGCGGATTTTTGCAGACGTCAGCGCGGCTCCATCATTTTCCCGAGCATCAAATACCACGAAGTCAACATGCCAGTTTAAGAGAAACATTTGTCGCGCTCATTTTGGTGTAGGGCCTTGCTCACGCTACCTCTTCTATCTGTGATTGGCTTCGCGTAGCCAAGGGCCACAGGGGACATCCAAACATTGCGGCTTTGGAATCTCAAGGGCTTGATTTATGCAATTTGTTGGCTCTCCTGAGCGGTTTTTTCTTGAGGAGGGAGGGGCTGGCTGTGGCCGCGAGGCCTAGCACAGATTCGTCAGGCATGGGCATGCAGCCTGAGGCTGGACAGTGTCACCCATCCACCCCCTAATCATTAGACTCCCAAGTGCCCACCCCCAAATAAGAAGTCAATTCTCAATAAAATACCATTCTATGCTTGGTAGAAGGCTTGGCGGGAACACGTTTCATTTTGAAGTGGAGGGGTGTAACTGATGTTCCGGGCAACGTACCTCATCCTACCACAATGACCACAACCTCGCAACCCTCTGGCTGCACAACGGATGTTTGTAGCATCTCCACCTGCGTTAGACTTGAGGTAGTACGAGGTAAAGATCAGATGCGGCATCGTCCCACATAGCCGAGTCTGGCATTCCTTATCCGGGTCTGGAGCCTTGATGTAACTGTTTCCCGACACCTCAACCCCAAAATCTTGTTTTTAGGCCCTAAACATCTACACTGCCCAAGCCCTCAACGCTTCACCCGAATTCCTGAGCCCTGAATTCCCTGCCGCAAACGCAGTCCAAGCACGTACATGGGGCCGTAGATCTCGTTGCAAACCTCCCGGGCTGAAAGTGTCAAGAATATCGACTGGTTAGGGTTGAAATGGAGGAATGGGATGCAGTTTTAAGGAGGATTGTGCAAGTGCTACTATGGGAACAATTCTCAATCATTTTGGCGGAGACGATGTTTAGCTGCATGTAGCTCTCACAAGGCGGTCAAGGCATGCTTTCAACCTGTCCAGAATGCGCTTCCAGTCTCAGACCTTCACTTGGGCAGCTCAAGTGGAAGTGCAGGACGACGCTTCAAGCGTGTACTGTAGGCTCGTATTCACTAGAGTAAGGTTTCGGTATTGGACTATACACTTACACAAGGACTACAAGGGAATACCATTGGCTGTTATTCAGGCTTCTCTCCTAGATTAATTATGCCTACAAGTAGCTCGCCTTGCCGGTGGTGGTAAAGAGGAGGCAAGCGTAGTCCTCTGGAATAGCCATGATAACGCGAGTATTCCTTCGTGAGTATTCCTTCATTCCCTACCGGCCAAACTAAACTCTAAGCCTTATTAAGCCTGAAACCCCGAACCTTAAGCCTTAGATCCTCAACCATCTGAAGCCCAGCGTTTCAGGTGTTGTGGGTCTAGCCCCAATAGCTACCGCTATCAACGTCCTAGATTCCTTGTGTAACTGGTACAGGCTGCCTCGAATAAAACGCCACATGACATTTGTAGTTATTCAGGCTTCTATGCTGCAGGTTTAGGATCTCTGAGGCTTGAGAATGGACTTGCCGCCTTGTCAGACATCTCGCCAGCCCACTCACGGAAGAGCTCCGGGGGCAGGCGGTGTCCCCACTGATGATACCTGGGCTTGCAGCCTTGATGGTGCTTCAAGGGGATTTTAGGCTTTGAGGATGGATATCATTTAAGTTTTACAAGTTTACGACGGCTTGCTAGTGCTTAAGGGAGAAGCGCGGGACGGGTTGATCTCTTTTGCCATCCATATAAGATCCCATTTGTACGCCTAGTATAATACGTACCTACGTATTGATCCCCATTGCCCTGTATGTAAGCACTAGTAAAGGCTTGTAGTGAGGTGGCTATAGTGTTTGGCACTTGGCACATGGCCGGTTTGAACATGGGATCGGTTGGAAGGATGCTAGCGGCAGAAAACATGGGTTCAAGGATTGCGGTAGGCAGCCAGCTCTGATCTGAAGCTTGCGACTGCCCTGCGCAATGAAGCACAGCCGGCCCGCGTGCAGCAGACTTGTTCTTGTATCAGCTGAAGCCTTTTAACGGCTGTCAAGAACTCCAAAACCTGCAGGAAGCAATAGAAACCCCAGTTTCAGAAGCATTCCAAACCAAACATCGGAGATGGTGTCTCCAGCGACCACTTGAATTCAAGCCACCATTTCCCCTTGATGATCCCCTATGTCCATGACCTTACAAAGTAGGAGGTTTAAACACTGACAATGGTGTTGCTCCATCTCTTGTCCTAAGAGCTGCCAGCTTCTTTTTAGGATTTTACTATAACGCAACGTGGAGGTTATGCCCAAGAATGACCTAGGTAACCCTAAATGAAAATCAGAACCTCTCAACGAAAACCCTAAGCCATGAGGCCAAAACCCTTCACCCTGTAGTAAGGAAGAGTACTAATGCGCAAATCCTGGGTCCGTGGCTGGGCTTTGTACTCCAAGTCCAGCATGGACATGGAAGGCAGCTCTGGAAGTTTGCTGGGCAAGTGTTCCTGAGGCGGATCTTGAAAGTTCAAGCCTAGTTCTTCCCGGATACCGCTCTGAACATCGAATCTGAGTTCTTGAGCTTGGTGACATTGGATGACTCAGCGTCATGCGCAGTGCACGAGTGCAAAGATCCAAAGCTAGATTGGCCAGGTGGGGCCCAGGTGGCGCTTACGTGCTGGCTAGACATAACCGGCTGAGCCTTGAACGTGCCACGGACTACAACCATTCACTACAACCCCAGCATTTGGAATTCTTTAGGCCCTCCTCTTCTAGCTAGGCCTAACAATGTACACGACAGTAGTAAAGTATCACTGAAAGGCTTCCCTGAAGAAAAGGCTGAGCTTTTTGAGGATAGCTTGACCCACCCTCAAGAAGGCTCTCAACTACCACATCGTGAATGCCCCTCTTGAGGCCCCATGCCTCAAATATTTCCATATACCAGAAGCCGACAGGTGAAAATGATATCCCAACCAAATACAGCAAAGCAGGCCTCCCAGAAGGAAAGAAGAGAGTATTCTTTGCCCTGGTAGATGAGTTTGACCTGACTGGGCTTTCAGTAAGGTGGAAGGACTGCATGACATGCATTAGCTTCATCCAGGGCTGCATGAAGTTATTTGTCTCCATAAATTCAAGCACGACTGCTATTAAACTTTGTGCAGCGGTTCGAAGCTGACTTCTGCTCATATGTTGTCCTACTGGTGCTGAATTTCGAGTACGGGAGGGAGGGTAGGGATTGTTATAGGGGATCATACATAGATTATGATAGTGATCAATCGGTCCTCTTACATGCTCATTACACCGTTTGTTTTAATTAAGTCCAGGTTATGTTTGGAGCTTCAGCAGCACTTGTGCCACGTAGGCACCTGCTCTTGGATTTGTGCAAGATCCACTTCAACTGGTACCCTACATTCTGAGGCCCAATGCTTGCACGCTAAACCAAAGCCCCAAAACCTCGCGTGCCGCGGCCTCATACATAAAACCGTAAGCCCCGAAGCGCTGAAGCCTGAGAGGCCATCTGCTTTGTACTAGAGCAAGAGCAGCATAAATGGTGGATGAGCAGGTTTGCAAAAGAATTGGTGCTCCTGTTCTGGTGGCCCCTGTAAGCAGAGTCAGAAGCGAATTTCATACATTTTGGGATACAAGGGGGAACATATGCGACGAAATCAGGTCATCATCTCCTGAACAACCAGCCGCGCACCGCATTACAGGCACTCAGCCGATGCATAACTGGGGATGCATGGGTAGCTATAAGCAGGGCTATATAGGTGCCCTGAGATAAGTCATAAGCACACATAACCGTTGACATGACCTCCTCCAAACTTACTCGTTATCACCCTTGAACCTCCAAGCAAGTTCTGAAAACTCCGCAATGGGCCCAGCGCCGTTTCTCCGTAGTCCTTCTCCGCAAGCCTCGGCATGATAAGACAAGTTGGGTGAGCGGTATAGAGCTTGAGAATTACAAGCATGGAATCTGCCAATACACTCTAAACCCTCAACTCCTGAACGCTTTAATCCAGAGACCTCAAACCTGCCCATGACCTCTTCTTTAATCTCTCTTCAACTCTGCTCTTGCCACCAGTAAGACCGCAGATTCGTGTACCTCAAGAGCTGCACGGACTCTGCGACCAAAAGCCATCCTCTGAGACAAGGTGCCAGTGAAGGGGTTGGTGTAGGTCGCCAACGAGCGTAGCAAGCCACCTCGCCATCCAACTTTTCAAGCTGCTGACGTAAACTTAAACCGAAACTCTAAACCCTAAAGGCCCTAAAGCTCTCAAGCTGTGGAAGGAGCAGCAGGTCTTGGGCACTCCACGGGTCAGGACTGGGGATATTCTTCGGGTTCTGGTTTGTAATTGCAAGCTCTGTTACCTCCGGCACTTCTGGTAGCTGAGCTACAGGGGGAAAACAAGACATGCACGAGCCCAGACCTCCATTCTTGCTGCGACCCCTCCTCAACTTCGTTCAAAGACTGACATGACGCGCCATCCTGGGGGTTTGCGCGCAGAGGGCTTGCAGCACTCGGATCTACATAGGCAGGATCCTCCTTCTGTTTTAGTCATCACGTCTGTGAGAAGATTTGTGCTGAAAAGCTCTCGGCACTTTGTTTTAAGCTGTTTCCTTACTTGTTTACGAAGCCTATCTACCCTCAGGGCCCCTAAGGTATCCACACTTTGAGAACCTCCCAAAATAAAACAACCAACACGGCCCCATAGCCCATAGCCCGAGCGCGGCGCCGCAAGTAGAAAGCCGCCCGCTGGTTTTTCCCTTGGAGGGAAAGAATCATCTGAGTAGTGTGTTCTGGAGTGGTTGAACCAAGTTGGATTCTACCCTTCTTCAACATGCTATAACCCAAGAACATGTGTAACACTTACTCTGTATCGGGAGTATAGCATCGCCATTCGGCATACTGCGGCATACTCCAGGGACCCGATACCCTTACTGAGGAATATACGTCAGGGTTCAGGATTTAAGGCTGAGGATTGAGGGAGCAGACCTGAAATCACATCAGGGTTCGTCGTGTCACTCAGAACATTTCCTGAATTGAAAATACCGGGGGGCCTCTCTGGGACATGGACCATCCTTGGGCTTTTGCATGGAAGGTCATACCCGAAAAGCAAAAAAAGATCCCTGACATAGACCCTGTTCTGGTGCTTTCTTGCTCATGCTTTGAAAGCTGAACCTGAAGGGGTTGGGCCTGTTATGCAAGTCTGGGGGCCTCATGTAGGAAGCAGCCGAAAAGGTAAGGAAGGGCTAATATGCTGGCTAAATTACATGTATTCAAAATCCGAAAATAACGCCACCTCGGCACCTTACTCTACATGCACCACCATTCAGGTTAAGGTCGGGTGAGGCCGTCTTAGCTAGTGCATGGCCTCCCTCAGATTTGCTTTCCCTGAAGGCTGGCCAACAAGGAGCTACCTTCTCAGGTCAACAACCAAAGCCATAATGTAATGATTGTGGAACCTGCATGTCTCAGTAGGCATCCATACTATCTACGTCTAAGGGTTTAGGTTTGGGGTTTAGTGTGGACATCCATACTACCACCACATCATCCAGGTTCATATGCCCGGGGATAAGAGTACCGCGGAGTTCAATCCTACCCACCCTGCCATTGAAAGAGTGGAGCTGCTGAATTTCCTGGCCCAAGAAGTGTCATCCTTTAAATTGCATAAATAACCCCATTATAGTAGTTTCCATGTTCTTTTCCATCATCCCTATATAACCCCTGTAACCCCTTTACCCTACAGAAGGATAATTATTACATGTATCCCCCCAAAAAATTACAGATCTTCACTAACCTACTGGGAGACAGATTTGGGTTTCCACTTCAGGACCTCGCAAGAGCACGACCTGAGCTGCCAACGTTGCTGACCATCCATCAGGTCATCCACGTTCACCTGCTGCTTGTCCAATCGGTTTGGGTTGCATACACCACTAAGCCCTAAACCCTACATCATCATTTCTCAACCCTTAGCCCGAATCCCTAGGCCCGCATTACCCTGATCCCTAAAGCCTAAGCCGGAAAACATAGCTGGTAAGGCATTACCTCAGGGTTATCTAATTTGAGCATCCCCACCCTTACGCTTTTGTTGTTGTTGCTGTGGGGCCTCATCAACAACTACCGACAACAACAATATGCTTCTAAAAAGCTGCACCAGCCGGCAGGCATAACACCTGTACATTCCAAGCACCAGCTTTGGGGTGGTAAGGTGGCTTGTGTGAGGCTTGAAATTTTCATACTTATGCTCTGGGGTTAGGCTGTCTGGCCACTCAAGGGGTACCTCCAAGTTGGGCACTGCAGTAGAATTTTAGGGTACTAGGGTTGGGCACAGCAGGGACATTCTGCAGTCGGGCACTACGGGCAGGGAGGCTTGAGGTTGGGAGCGACTGGGAGACTCTGGGGCTGAGCAGCACTGCAGGGATACCCCACACTGTGGGGAGACTCTGCCGTTGAGCACTGTGAGTCTGCCGGGATACCCTACAGCTGGGCAATCAGCGTGTTATTGTAAGAGGTTGTTACCTCCCAAAACACTCAAAGGACTCCTCGCAATACCTCAGCCTAAACCCTGCGCCGCGGGCTCTACACCCCAAGCCTTAAACGTTCATCCCTTAACCCTAGACCCCTAACACCTCAACCCCTTCAACCCTGCTCGTGCGCTCAATGTTGGCTGAGGGACTGAAGGAATAGCAAAGAAAGTGGAAGGTGTTGTACTCTTTGGGTCTGGGGGTTAGGGTTTCGGGGTGTAGGGGCCAGGTTTCGTGTGTAGGGTTTGGGGTTTGAGGTTGGTAGGGAGTGAAGGAATGGATTATGGAGATGATGGTAACGGATTCTGTAAAGACTGGTTACTATGGGGACCCGTTCCTCCATTACCTAATACCTGAATACCAGTAATTACGGCACCTTGTCAAACGCGCCAAGCTTCTTCGGAGTGTCAATTGGCATCTTTGGCTCTGGATACTCCTCCAAACAGGAAAGCTTCAAGATGTTGCGGGTTGGGATTGGAGCCATGCGCACATGATTTACCACATGTAGCTTGAGCCAGGGGTATCTTGGCGCATATCGCTGGGGCTTCATGCGCCCTTGCCCACGCTTCTGGGACAACCCTGACATTGAGGACCAGACGGCGCCCTGCTTTTGGAAATGCCCTGTCTACCTGCATTGAGGAGTCCCCAAACGCCAACACTATCCTAAACCCAAGAGGCTAGGCTGCTCCTTGAGAAGCATCTCATCAGCCTCGCCAGTGCTGAACACAAATTCCATCAGCACAAAAGCGTTAGCCACAACCGCTAACGACACTGCAGTAGCCTCGACTTTGGGCCTTGTTCTTGCAGAATTATGCCTTATTGCTAGATGGTGGCGTTTATCGGCATCACAAACCCTTTTCAGGATCCTTGATAAAGATACACATACGTTTGGGAAAAACAGGGGCCTCCATTGTTGGATTGGTTGGACGCATCCTTGAAAGCTGGGCCAGGGTCATACCTGTGCCTCTGCTCTTGTCCCCGAGACTCATGTAGATGCTGCAAAAGAAAGCTTACCCCCTGCAAATATGGCAGGGTTCCGTTCATCGGGAGCCGATCAGTGTTGGCTTGAGTGAGTGGCTCTGACCTCTGCTAGAACCAAACATACATGGAGGATCTTGAGGCAACTTCTTGTAGAAGCCTGAATAGTTACTAGCATCATTCCCCACACCCCTCTCCTATTCTAACTAGTTGGGCCACTAAATTGCTCATCGCCGATGAGTAGTTCGGTCTCCCAGACACATTTCTTGCGTAGCTTGTGGACACAGGTGCATTTGAGGGATAACTTGCGACCATACGAAACCAACAAAAGAATTTGCCCACCCTTAATTGCCCTTGGGTTGCCCTAGCGTCGGCAGCGCTTCACCTGAGACACACAGCAGAATAGCCTTTGCCCAGGTCATGTTGCTGCACCCTCCCGGAGTACAACCAACAAAACAAATCTCCTGCGGCTATGATTTGGAACATCGACGCTACTATACTAACTCCTAAAAAGGATCTGCCACTGTTGGAAAATCCTCATTTCAACTCATTTCCATCCCAAAGCCCACTCTGCAATGAGCTGCTGAGGGCGCAGCAAAATGAGAGAAAAAAAATGCCTCAGCCATGGATTGCAATCGAAGGACTGGGTGCCCAATCATCATACCACCACCACCACCACCACCACCACCACCACCACCACCACCACCACCACCACCACCACCACCACCACCACCACCACCACCACAACCACCACACTACGACTACTACTACTACTACTACTGCCGCTACTACTAGTCATAATAAGAGCACTGGAAGTAATAAAGTTAGTAAAGCAAGCTCAGGAATATAAGCCTCGGCAATAGCACGAGCAAAAATATCGATACTAGAAACCATAAAGTGTTAAGATCTGGGCATAAAATGCGGGGTGTAGCGTCTTAAGTTAGGCGTTGTCAAAGGGACCCTTCTTCTGGCACGTGTAAAATGGGATGCCCTTAGGGGCCGCAAGGATATACGCTTACTTTTGAGCGAGCTGGACCTATTGCAAAACACTAGCATTGTCTGGAATGGCACTTGTCAGGGAGACTATTCATCGGGATGTTTCACGAGCCAGCTTTTGAGACAAATCTCGTGCTAGCAACCCTGTCAAACGGAACCCTGCTGCTTCACGGCTGCTATGATGAAGATTGGGGGTTCGCAATGCTTGCGACCAATTAGAAAGGTGTCAGGGACTCTGCAAGAATCATGTTGGTACTTGTTCAGGTTTCGAAAGCAGCAAAGGTTTTGCTTAGTCAACTGTTGGGTGACACATATTCTTGTTGAAGCTCAAGACTTCGCACCCTCATTTTCCAGTCGAGTAGATCCCGACCCGAAGGAGGCGCGACAACCGGGACCTAAGAACCCTGAAGTTGCCTTACACTCCCCTTACATGTAATTCCTTTGCAAATTCTCTCTTGGGGTCTGGTCCTATTTGGGGGCCTCTTGGAACATACCCGAAATAGGACTTGAACTTGGCCCCCTCACAGTGCGTCGCATCCTGAGGATCCCGCAAGCGCACAAAACAAAGACCTCGGCTTACTGCTGGTAAGTAAGGATTCTGGGGACTGTAATGAGGGTTTACGCCGAGACCGCAAAAGGGTTGAGTCTTGGGGTCTGAGGCCTGAACTCTGGGCTGAACTCTGGCTGTAACATGGCTCGAACTGTCGAACTGTGGGTATGGGCTGCTTGATTCATGCCCAGTTCTAAGTGTCTTACACCCCAAGTTCTAAGTGTCTTACACGAAAATTACTGCCGCTGCTTCTTCTCAACGTGTACCATCGCACATCCCCATTGTGAATACGATGTAAAAAGATAGATGCTCATATGTATATATATATAACATGCATCACACGAGGATGACCATGGTCTCCTTTAGGAGTTCTGTAGACCTCAACTTGCAGGAGCCTACAGACTTTAAAGGCAGGTGGCGTTTTCCCTGCTTTGGGGGCGTTACCGAAAGCTACAAGCAAGGTTATGAGCAAGATAAATGTGATCGTAATGACATGGCTCATTACTACCCACTACCCATGAACCTCCACCACCAAATACGAAGAGGACTTTGGCTCTTTATCGAGATTAGGGTACTTTTAAGAAAGAAAGTTCATACCTCAAGGGACATGCCTCACAAAGTCACGCCAATATTTCTTTGAGTGTCTGAAGCTGAGAACCGCAGCTGAGCATTTCCAGCTATTAGGAGTTCCTCTTCTGTATCTTTGTTATGGCCATTATAAGGCTTTGGGGCAAATACAGGGAACCCAGAGTTTTGCTGTGATACACAAACGTATGCGGAGGATATTCCCTTACATGCAAGACACTTTTCTTCCTCGAGCTTTTTACGCCCTCGGCCTTGAGCCGTAAACCCCCCTTGCTCCAGAAGCTCACTCACTCCAAGCTTCTGCCAAGGTGCCCGTTCTCTGCACCCTGGCCATTGCAGCGTATGTGCTCCGTCCTGTGCACTGTGGACGTCCCCAAAAGGATCCCCAACATCTGCTTACAACCACTCAGCAGTATTCAGATTGAACAAATGATCTAATGTCGTACTGCATAACTAAGTAAGTCTAATATAGCCTGGGGCGACATTCTACAGCATTATACGGTATTCATACATACGCAAGGTTTCTTGAGGAACAATATTTGTAGCTATGCAGGCTTCTACATTACGCCGGACGCAAGATACAAACTATAGGATCCTCGCATTCCAAACCCTTCTGCTAGGGGCTTTCCCTTCTCGTTGCTGGAAGCTTCTCAAACATCCTCTATCTTCGGGCATAAGACAAGCCATATGCGAATTCTGGAAGGTCTGACCTCGGCGGCATGTCGGCTATTCGAAGGTTCATGGCTACTTGTAACTAGGCTCTAATGGGTGTAGCTATGCACTTATAAGCACCCGTGAACCTTCAAGTATGTTTGCTTCTGCTGCTGCAGGCAAGGCTCTTTTGAGCATCGCGCTGCCCGCATGTCCACTCTGGCTTCTGATGATGCCTTGCAGGCATTGACAATCCAAGCCTTCTGTCTCAGTGGAAGTGGGTGCCCAGTGCGAATGCTTAGTCAAGGAATACACCATAAATCATTTCCTGGATCCTGTGCCATGTAGGCTACATTAGTGAATGGAAGCGTTCTCAGCACGCTGAAAGCTGCTATGGAAACTGGTGAAATGGGCTTGTCTGAGAAAATAGTTTAGGGTCTAGGGCTAAGTTCAGGGCATAAGAATATCAAAGTAAGAAAGGTATCGAGCTGCAAGGTTCAAACAACTACCCGGCTGTTTTTCAGGGTCTGCTTCAAACATCTCAAGAAGTAACAAGGAGGGTTAGCAAGCAACTGCATGTTTCGCATCGCGAATTTACAGTCTAGTGGTGCGCAGAGCCTTTACAGGACAAACCTGGTCAAGATGTCTGACAATTACACTACTGCATCGATCCGCGGCCTTTCAAAAGCAGAACTTTTGCTTGTGGTAGAATTATGTTCCCAAAGTAAGCCGCCGAAATTCGAATCGCTGCCGGGGCAGGTACACTGAGCACATGACTTCTTCTGTGCAAAGTGAGGGTATGAGGGCTAGGATCGCCCTTGGGGTCTTGGGGTTCCCCAACCTGAAAAGCTGGTAGCCGAGGATGACGTCTCGTTTGCCTGATTTCATACCATTTTGGCTTCAAATAGCCAATTCTTTTGGAGACGTGGGCTTTCCAGGAAGTGCCGCTGTTGCAACGATGCTAGCCCAGCTGGTTTCCATGTCCTCGTGCAATGTTGAAGAATTAAAAGAATCACAACCTGTTCTTTAAAAGTCCTGATGCAAGACCTAACGGCTGAAGTTGCCCCAATGCCTTTTTCTAAGTATTCCAGCCTCGACATTATCCTTTGTCCAGGCTGGGGCCGTGGCCAGTGGAGAATTTTCGTCTCTGGGTACTTCGCACTCATCGTCTTCTCCCAGCCGGCGATTGCAGCGACGTCGGAATGCATCCTCAATGGTGCTCATGCCGAATTCCTGTGATTCCAAGAATGCATTAACAGCCCTGCTTTCCTGTGTGGCTTGGGTTATCTGCTCACAGGTTCAGCTAAAGGTTTCATGAAACTTTAGGCGGCTGCCCAAAAAAAGTGAGGCACTGACAATCAACATATTCTAAATGCTTATTTGCCCGACATGTTGCCCTGAGTGCTGCACATAGTACGGATTTGATCGCGGTGCTTGCCTCAGTCGAACAGGCATTCTGAGTCTGCACATGTGGATTTCCGAGCACAGTGCCACCCATCCCTCCATTGCTCCACCCCTCCCCCCTGCTCAACCCCTCCACCCACCCCGCCGCTCTCCACCCTCGGCCCTTGTGATCTTGGGATATACGGGAAGCACAGGGATTTTGGAATTCCGTGGGGTCCGTACCAAAGATCCTATAAGAATAGTCTTGGAAAACCTCCTCATCAACGCTATCAGCCCCCACTGAAGAGTCGCACAGCTCTGCTGTACACACGAAGCTCGGCAAGGTCAGCTTTAGACTCAGAATGGACCTCTTCAACTTGGGCCTTGTCGAGACCTACAGCAAAGCTTTCAACTTCATACTAACTTCAGAACCTGCAGTCAAACCATATCACACATATCTTCTATGCAAACCATTTGGGGTGAGGTTGGGCGCGGTCGTTCTAATTTGCCAAACTACGACCAGGAGCCAGACTCTGGCGCTTTCTCAATGCTGGCGCAATTCGGGACGCTCAGGATGTAGAGGGATTACCAATGCATGAATGAGGGGGTCCACCTTGAAGATTGCAGTATTCCAATCTTTCCTGCAAGGCCCCCGGCCGTGGAGCAAGCGCTGGGCCACCTGTGGCTTGGGTCAGACAAGGCTTCGTGCTCCTGTATGGTCATGCTTTGTCGTAGAAGGGCGGGACGTTTATTTGTGGTCCCAATGGAGACACCAATAATACACACATCGATGATCGTAAGAGGCTCTATATACATGCAGCAAAACTTTTAGTCAAGCCTCTACCTTATACTACTGTAAGGTCCTGTAGAGATGCGGGACCAATCTTGGCAACCCGTTGGCCTCTGGTGGCATCCTTCAAGAGTTCACCTCTGTGCTATAGGGCAGCTTTCCGTGTCTTATGCAAACTTGGCTGGACGCCAGCCATACTAGTCAACGAAAAAGAAAGAACAATATGTGTATATATATATGTATGTATGTCTATATGTGTGTGTATGTATGTATGTATGTATGTTTGTATGTATGCATGTAGGTAGGTAGGTAGGTAGGTAAGTAGGTATGCATGTATATGTACAATTGTATACATATACAAGGTGCCAAACCACAGCTGACCCAAAGAACCGGCACTTCCAAGAGGATTTCCATCGGGCTAGCAGCCCCGTTGGTGGGCTAGACCCAAGGTTCCACGCCATGTCGCCTACACAAAGCTAAGCCAGGTGAACTCCACCTTACCGGGGTCGGCCGGGAATGCGGGAATGGAACATCGGCACCATTTTCGAGAAGTATATCTGTGGACTGCTGCAGGGATCCATTCGATATTCTTGACTTAGACCGAAGCCGGCCACGCCTTGCCAAGCCCTGAACCCGCTATAACACCCTAAATGGTACTGATCAATTTCCATTTTCTGCGTTTCCTCCACCATTCCAAATCAGACGCAAGCAAGCCAGCTTGTCCAGCCCCGCAAGTGCAAACAAACTTTGAGGCATTGACCTCGTTGATCCGCTCGTGGCCAGCTTCACCCCAAGCCTTTGCAGCTCTGATGGAGGGGCCTGAATGAAAAACTGAAGTGGGTTGCAGGGTATATGATGCCACAAACACACGAAGCCAATACAGGGATTATGTTACAATTCTCAGGCTTCTACATTGAGCATCCTGTTAACAACTACAAAGTCCCCAATTTACATGTCATCTTGCATTTCTTTCTTCCATGCTGACGGTATATTAGCCAAGCTGCTCATGTTCCCTTCGTTCACGGATGCAAGTTTCACAGTTTATCAAATCATATACTCTGGAACCTAGTGATAGTCCTTCGTAGTTTCCATATATCCTTACGCTCGCAAGGGTAGCTCGGCTTTGAGACCCCTTCCGTGATGTCTTGCCACCACTAATCTGAACAAAGTGCCCAGGCGTTTTTGTGGGGGTACCTTTAACCGTATAACCTGAGGCAGTTCTGCTGCCGGCAAGGCTGAGACGTGGACAGCGGCGAAGCCGCACTGCTGCAGCAAGGCTACCAGGCCTGCAATGTGTCACTTTCTCCATGTAATCTTTAAGGCGACCAAGCGCCTCCCCCCCCTTTTTGAGAACTGCGCGTATGCCTCAAGTGGAGGAGCTCAAGCGTCTAAGGCTTAAGGTAGTTGGCAAAGTTTTTTGCGGAGGAAGTTCTTGCAATCTTCATGTAGATTCGAACCTTGGCATCTGGAGCGGGAACCTTATTTCAGGGTGCGGAACTAAGCTACCTGACATACTTGCTTGCCCCCAACATTAAACACTAACCGCCCCCAAATATCAAACACAACCCCCCCCCCCCCCCAGCTCACTAGGTCTGAAGTAGGCAATGCTCCACGCGGGCGGGCGGGTGGTGCTTTTATGCATCCCTTTCCTCGAGAGGCATGTTTCCCTTATAGGGGTCTCACGCTCCAAACCCAAGGATGCCACACAAACATTGCAAGGACGCAAAGGCTAAGATGGCTAACACCATGAGCAACTCGATTCCTTCGGCGCCTTTCTGACGCGGCCCCGATAGGGGATTTGTAGCAAACGTAGTCTTTGCCTCTAGGTTTTGGCCCTTGAAGAAGCTCAGCTTTTGAATAGTACTCTGTGAACGCCGCTATGTCCTTGTAAGCGAAAACCTCGAGCGGCAGAGTCCTTGCTGACAACTCCAACTAGAGGCAAACTTGCCATGAAGTCCACATCGCTCGGCTAGCTAAGTAAGTTCAAGGCTGGGCATGTACTTTTCAAACGCTGGCATCATCTACAATATTAGGTATCGGAGACTGTAAGACGTAGGATATATCATCTGGTTGCAGCTTGGGCTTGCAAGTGTTGTGCAACCAGCTTGCACGTTTTCCTGACAACTTTAGTCCGCATTGGCAAATCTTAACTCCACACACCCATGCTGGATATGCGTGCAAAGGCTGCATCTAAAGGGTTTCAGGCCTCACACCCAAGTGTAAGAATCACGGGATTTGCTGTGCATCTTCGGGCTGCATTTGTTGCAGAAGACGCTCAATCCTCAACTTGCATACCCTGGTCAAACACTTTACAACACACTCCCCTCCCCCAGCATCAACGAATAAGGACTTGTTCGTTTTTCCAGCCTGAATTGCGCGTCAGAATGTCCAGGACTTAGATTCCAACCCTGGCTCCTTATTGCGATGCTGTGCAGTACTGTCTAAAGCTATTGTTTGATGTGCGGTGGTTTTTATGTTAACTGAGAATCCAAGAGCTATGTTCAAGCATGATACAGATCCCCATGTTCGG